TGTAACCCCAGCACTTTGGGAGGTCAAGGTGAAAGGATTGCCTGAGCCCCGGGGGTTTGAGACCAGCCCAGGTAACATGGTGAGACCTCGTCTCTACAATAAATAAAAAAATTAGCCAGGTGTGGTAGCACGCGCCTGTTGTTCCAGCTACTTGGAAGGCTGAGGCGGAAGGATTGCCAGAGCCCAGCAGGTCGATGCTGGGTGGCTGTGAGTGTGCCATTGCACTCCAGCCTGGGCGACAGAGTGAGACTCCAACTCAAAATAAATAAATAAGTAAATAAATAAACCTTAATGACAGTTTTATTAAATATTATTTTAGCCCCCCAAAAAAAAATGTCTTTCAAATCTGCTATTTGAAATGCATCCAAAAATAATATGAGTATGCAATAAAGCAAATACAATCAATTGCTAGCTACAGAATCTAGACACACACACACATATACAAGGGGGACCCAAAAAACAGAAATTTATTTATAAAAAATTGTGTATTTATTCTTACATGGTTAAACTACAGTCACCTTCAAAGTATTCCCAAGTTGATGCCATACACCTATTGAGATGCTTTTTTTCACAGCTCAAAAGTTTTTGAACTCATCAATTTTGATGCCTCTTAGTGCTTCTGCCATTTTTTGTTTCACCTCTTCCACACTGGCAAAATGTTTCCCTTTGAGGACTTTTTTCATCCAAGGAAACAAAAAAAAGTCACTCCGCGCAATCAGGTGAATAGGGAGAGTGGGACACAGGGGCCATGTCATTTTTGATGAAAACTGCTGAACACTCAGCAAGGTGTAGGCAGGTACGTTGTCATGGTGGAAGAACCAGTCACCTGTTTGCCACAACTTGAGACGTTTCTTCCACAAATTATGATGACACCTCAAAACTTCCAGACAAAAACTTTGGTTGACCGTTCAATCCAGAGGAACAAATTCCAAGTGTAATATAAGGGGTCCACGCTCCAAAAGACAATTCTGGGTTTTTTTGGGTCCCCCCTAGTACGAATGTGTGTGAGAGTGTGTGTGAGTATGTGTGTGTGTTCACTTATAATTTTTTCAACTTTTCTGTGTTTGGAAATTTTTACAATAAAAAGTTGAAAAAAAGATCTCCACATTCAGACACTGCTCAAACACACACTTTTCTTTTTTTTATTTTCTCTTTTTCTTCTTCTTCTTTTTTTTGAATTGGAGTCTCTTGTCGCCCAGGCTAGAATGCAGTGGCACACTCATGGTCACCTCGACCTGCTGGGTTTAGGCGATCCCTTCTGCCTCAGCCTTCCAAGTAGTTGGAACTACAGACACACACAACCACAGCCAGCTTGTTTTTGTGTGTGTGTGTGTGTAATTTATTGTAGAGATGAGGTCCCTCCAAGTTGCCCAGGCTGGTCTTGAACCCCTGGGTTCAGGCAATCCTCTTGCCTCAGTCTCCCAAAGTGCTGGGATTACAGACTGAGCCACCACACCCGGCCAAACACACACTCTTGCAACCTCTCTTCTGAACTACTCTGGGAGCCTAACAGTTTTCTGTCTCTTGGGTTCCTTCCTGTTGTCACCATCCTCCAGAACATTTCCCAATGATCTCTGCCTCCCGATATTCACACCCTGTGAATTGTCTCCCATTCTGTACCAAACTGGTCTCTGTGACAATAGTATACAAGCAGAAGTGATGGTATGTCACTTCCAAGATTAGGTTACACGAGACTTCAAGCCTCTGTCCTAGCAAGCCCTCTCGATGCACTTGTTCTGGGGAAACATGTAAGTCACCTATTTTAACAAGATCTGATTTTAAGACACTCTGATTCAGAAAGATCTAAGTTTATTCTCCCCATATCAATCTATGTTATTTCCCCAAATTGATTTAATATAATATCAATTAAAATATTATTACAGCCGGGCTCGGTGGCTCAGCCTATAATCCTGTGCCTTGGGAGGCTAAGGTGAGTGGATTGCCTGAGCCCGTGGGTTCAAGACCCGCCTGGGCAACTTGGCAAGACCTCATCTCTACAATAAATCAAAAACATAGCCGGGCATGGTAGCACGCGCCTGTAGATCCAGCTACTTGGAAGGCTAAGGCGGAAGGATCGCCGGAGCCCAGCAAGTCGAGGCTGCGGTGGCCGGGAGGGGTCCCTGCACTCCAGTCTGGGCAACAGAGTGAGACTTTAACTCAAAAAAAAAAAAAAAAAAAAAAAATATATATATATATATATATATAATTATATTTGGTTAAAAAAAAAAAGACACTGATTCAGTAGATCTGGGGCAGGACCTGAGACACAGCATTTCCAACATGCTCCTTGGTGATGCAGATGCTGCTAGTTCAGGGATCCAATACAGTGCTACAAGTATAACTAACAAGGTAAGAAAAGTTTTACTCTTTAAAAAAAGAAGGGGGAGTGGTACATTTCCAATTTTTCCCCTGCCATACTTAAATATGTTAATACAGTCAAGTGTTTGTTGTGGTTCAGTGCTACATCATCTCAATATCTCCAATTCTATAGAGCAGTGCTTCTCATATATTAATGTGCATATGAATCACCTGGAGATCTTAATAGATCGCAGCAGTAAGTCTGGAAGAGGAAAAATCCTGCATTTCTATCAGTGTCGCAAATGACACTGAAGTTTCTGGTCCATGGACCACACTTTTTGAGTAGCAAGATTTTTAAAGTTTCCTATAATGTTGCTTTTGTTTTCGTTTTTAGTTTGATAGATTTGATAATATAAAAATATAAAACAAGCCGGGCTCGGTGGCTCAGCCTGTAATCCTGTGCCTTTGGGAGGCTGAGGTGAGTGGATTGCCTGAGCCCACGGGTTCAAGACTCGCCTGGGCAACTTGGCAAGAACTCATCTCTCCAATAAATCAAAAATTAGCCTGGCATGGTAGCACATGCCTGTAGTTCCAGCTACTTGGAAGGCTGAGACGGAAGGATCGCCGGAGCCCAGCAGGTTGAGGCTGCGGTGGCCGGGAGCGGCCACTGCACTCCAGTCTGGGCGACAGAGTGCGACTCCAACTCAAAGAAAAATTAAATTAAATTAAAATATAAAACATATGCAAAAACCAATAAAGGCAAAAAAATGTGGGGGGGAAAGCTGCAACATCTGTGACAACATGCATATTTGTATTAGTTCTCTATTGATATATAAGAAATTACCACCTATAGTTTTAAAGTCTCAAAATCAGCAACCTGAAAGTAGAAACTCTTGAAATGTACACAAAAGCCCATTACACATTTCCAGCTCCAACTACTCCAGCAACATTACCCACCCTATGGGTACACTGCTCCTCCAACCATACCTGACAAATCCTACACAATGCTAAAATCTTAACTTCTCCAGTCTATCCAATCCCTTCCTAACTTTACACCCCCAAAACACTTTTGCTTTGATAATACAGCAAGTCGAAGAGAAGTAAGTCATCAGTTTAGTGGTCTTCTCATCTTCCCCTTCAACTGATCTTTGGTCTAATTTGGCTAAGCATTTCATCATTCTACCGTGAGATTAAAGTCCCATGGCCTACTTATTCCAGATTAGGCAGAGAAAATATGGATCTTTTGTTATAATTAACTTCTCACTGCTACATGTTTTTTCTCATACAATTTTTTAACTGAGAGAAAATTAACATACCATAAAGCCCACCCTTTTAAAATATACAATTAAGTAGCTTTTAGTATATTCAGAGTTGTGCAACCATCACTACTAACTTTAGAATTTCATCACCCAACAAGAAGTCTCACATACTCGCCCCTACACCTCTAGTCCCCCAACCTCTGGCAACCACTAATCTTTCAATCTCTATGGATTTGTCTACTCTGGACATTTCACATAAATGGAATCATACCATATGCAGACTTTGTGACAAGTTTTGCTCACATACCATGATGCATTCGTACTGTTGCACATATCGGTACTTAATAATTCCTTTTAAGGCCAAATAATATTCCATTGTAAGAATATACCATATTTTGTTTATCCATTCATCAGATGATAGACATTTGGGTTACTTTTACTTTTTGCCTATTATAAATAATAGTGCTATGAACGTGTGCACAAGTTTTATGTGAACACATGTTTTCAGTTTCCTGGGTATATACCTAGGAGTAGACTTGCTGGGTCATACCCTAACTCTATGATTAATATTTTGGGGAACCACAAAACTATTTTCCAAAGCACTGCACCATTTTACATTCTCACCAGCAATGTATGAGAATCTCGTTATTACATTCTCAACAAATGAGGATGTTATAATTCCTAAACTAAAAGAGAAATGTGCCACCACCATATAATGAAAACACCCTACTAAGAATATTGCAGTAACAAAAGTATACGTCTGGCAGGAATACAGAGAATCCTGTTACAGGTCCAAGAATATTAAGCAAATGAGTTAACCTCTTAGAGCCTCCTGTTCCTCATTTGAAAACAGGGGTGCTGAAATGACATTTCCCTTGCAGTCGCCGTGAAGATTAAATAAATCAATCCACATAAAGGTGCTTTACAACACTGATTACTCATGATTCAATCCCGGGCATGGCATTAGGAGCAAAGGACCAAATGCCCAGATCTCTTCCCCTCATTCGGGCCATTCACGCGGGAGGGGTTGCTGAGCGACGCCGGCGGCTTCAGCCACTTCCCTCCTGGGGAAGCCGGTCTGCCAGCCACGCAGGATAAATTGCTAGAGCTCACGGAGAGCCGTGTTACTCCAGCCCGACATAGCTCCCAGGAGAGAGCTCTTGCTGCCTGCCTCTAAGCTTAGTAAATCAGCCAGGATCTTTTTTTCATTTTAAATGGCAACAGACACATTTATTGTGGTCGAAGCAGAAAAGGAGGGGCAAAGAGAACACAAGCAAATCCCCCCACCTAAGATCCCAGTTTCTGTCTCCTCACCCCCCCCATAAGGAAAACAAATATGAAACCCGATTCACTGCGAACCCTAGAGGTATATCGACCCCAACGGCCTTCACCTCCCCCACACTCCTCTATCGTGCCCCCTAGGACAGACGGTGCAAAGCTTACCTGGTGGCTTCCTCCAGCTCGACCTGGCTCCGGCCAGGCGCCGCCAGAGGGATAGTAGCCATCGCCTCCTCCGCCTTCTCCGGGCCAGGTGGTCTCAGTCGGGCCGCCCCCACGCACCCGCCAGGAAATGGGAGGCTGGGGAGGTTCAGGGCGAAGAGGATACAAGGGGGGAGGTGGGTGCACCGGTACATCTCCACCCCCAGGCCCGTAATAGCGGCCATAGGACGGACCGTCACTGGGGCCGTAGCCCGAGCGCCTCAGGGCCGACATGGGCTTCGCTGCCCCGAAGCGCTTCCCGCCCCCCACGGCCGGCCCATTGCGCAGGCGCCTGCGGGCGATACGGATTGGACGGCAGTGAAGGGGGTCGGACGGTAGCAGCCAATTCCAGGCCCGGTCCCGCCCCGTCTGCCGCCGAGCCTCGAGAGTGGCGGAACTGAGATCTGTGACTCCGGGGTCTCGGAAACAGGGATGCGAGGGGAGGCACCGTGTTCCTTACAAGGGAAGATACATTTCCCACTATCTGTTCAGTCTAGATTCCTCTTCCCCACTTGTCAGGGACAGGGAAAGTATATCCCCGAACAGCACAGCTGCCCCGCCTCTTCCCAAGGGCTGGCACGTGGTACCGGAAGTAGGTGGGGCAATATGGAGGAGTTTCCGGCAGGCCCCGGCTGCTGAAAGCCGGGGCAAAAGTGCTGGTCCAGGTCTGGGTTGCTGTCCCGGTCCCGCCGAGGCGGCGGCTGCGGTGAGAGGGAAGAGGCTTGGGACACGCTGGCCCACTGCCGCTGTACGTTGCAACTTTATTTCAGTTCAAGATGAACTATATGCCCGGCACCGCCAGCCTCATCGAGGACATTGATAGTGAGTAGTTCATCCCCTCCCAGTGAAGCCTGGGTGCGACCCTTCCTTCCTGGTGGGCGCCTCTTCGGAGGAAGCTTATAGAATGAGTCCTGGGCGGGGTCGGTGTGTTTTGTCTCTTGAGCTCAGTCCGTGGTGTTCTGCATTGACATCCTCCACACCCACAGGTCACACCGCCTGTCCACCCGTTAGACAGCTGTCTCTGTTCTACCCTCTTAGCCTCCGCCCCGCCCGTCCCGGGCTGGTGAGCCATAGGCTGGAGGATTCATTCTTGTCTTGGTGGGTCGCGGCTGCAGAGGCAGGAACACGAAAGTGGCCCAGAGGTCTTCTCCTCCGTCCACTGCCTCTCACCTGCCAAATTTTGAAGTACCAACTGGTTACTGGTGGATGAATGAGAATACTGAGAAAGGATCCGTTAAAAAACAGAAATGATAAAACAATGTCAGTTGGGTTTAATTGGTAGTAAATTAAGGCTTTCTACGGTGTAGCTATTTGCAATCTTCTTTTACTGTGAGGGTCATTAGCACTTTCAGGTTATGGTAGTAGAGGCCGCTGCTTGACATGAGGTTGACTTTTCTGGAAAGACTAAATCACTTCAAACTTTTTTTTTTTCCTGTGAGATAATTTTCTTTTACTAAAACAACCTCCCTTATTCCTAGTTATTGTCCTGAAAAGGAACTCAGTCCTGTACAAAAGCAAGAGGAACCACTTAAAATTGTCCCGTCTTTCCTTTTTTAAGTTCTTATATGTACATTATTCCTTAAGCAGCATTTTTATCAATTTAATCGTGTGGTCTGTCTCTGATTTGTTATTGCTGCAGAATGGTTTACACAGTTTCAAACAAGTTACAATCTCCACAGTTACTATGTGAGTATGCAAATTAGAGAGTGAGTCTATGATTAAATTCTCATTTTATGGTTGTCTCAGATCATTTCTTAAACACAAATTACTTATTTTGCTATTGAAGGTAAATGTAGTGTAATTGGACCCGGTACCTCTATTGACATCCACTGTATACATCTATCTGTAATGTGTAATAAAATGTTATTTTAGTTGTTTGAGGATACCCTTTTGCACTTACTTTATATATCTGAACTATTTGAAGCCTCTAACACATCCTGCCATTTCACTAAAAGTCAGTTTTGTTCTCAGTGCCTCTAACCCTACTTCTTTGTAAATTCCAGACTCCTTCCTTTACTGAAAAGTTTGAAACCATTTGATATGCAACCTTCACTCCCCCAGTCCAACACACTCGCTTTCCTCTCTCCTCTGTCCTCAGTCTTTCAGTATTTCCCCCATCCTCTCATTTGAATAGGAAATATTCCACCCTTTCTGTTTGTATCTGTCAACTCTCTCCTCCCACTGCTTCTGAAAGCTTCTTCCATTGTTTTCCTTTTTCTTTCGTATTTTATCTCTCTCTTCTCCCTCCAGGTCCCTCCCTTTGTATATGTCATCGTCTGTCCATCTCAGATTTTTTTCTCAACCGTCTCTTCAAAGTACTCTCATCCCCTTTTCCATATCTTTACCCCGAGACTTCTTGAGACATCTCTCCATTTTGATTCTACTTTCTGGCCACCTCCAATAGACCACTTCTACTTCTGCAATCTAATTTTTGTCATTATCACACTACTAAAGTTGTTTTCTTGAAAGGCATCAGTCTGAGGCACTCTTCTCAGTTCTCGCCCCTCTGCTTCATTGTGATGGTCTCACCACCAGATTATTAATTCTGTTTTCTTGATTTATCTTAACATTGGTACTTGTTGATTTTCTTATCACTCCAACTCTTATTGTTCCCCAGAATAGATGGTGTCTTGGGTTGCATGTTTGGCCTGCTTCTTTCTTTAAATCTTTAGGAAATCGCTTGGACTTTAGTAATGATATCATCTCTTTCTAGATTTATCCAAAATTGCTTTCTCTAATCCTGACCTCTTTGACATTTTAGTTGTCCTATTTCCAAATGCCCGCTGACATTTCTATGTAGGTGTCCTGACAGCACTTCAGAATCACAAGAGCCACTAATTGCACCCTGAGTATACTGCTTTTATTTCCAGCTTTTGGTAAATAGCCCTCCCTAAAATGATGACTCTTTAACTCACCTCTTCAGTATCCCACCCTCTCACAAATACAAACTTCCCACAAGTACAAACTCAGCTGACAAATCCCATCACTTATGACTGCACAGTCTTACCCCTCGTCTGCGCCCTTCCCATCTCAACCTTGGTTCAAGTGTCTTCTTCATGTCCCAGAGAGACTTAGGAATAGCCTCATAACTATTCGCTTTTCTTCAGGATCAGTCTTCAATGTTGTTTTGTTACTTATAAAGTCAAATCCAAATTCAGCCAATACTTTTCTAACTTTATCTTTTGTTCTTTCACACCCTCAATTTTTAACTAGACATGGGTATATGGTCCTTTTTCTCCTGCTGCCTAATTTAAAGATTTCCTTCTCCCCTCCCCTTCCTTGCCACTCTTCTTATAGCCAAAAATTATCTACCTTTCAAGGTCCCAACTTGGATATTTCCTCCAGGTGGATATAGTCTCTCTCTATAGTCTCATATAATTAAGATTTGCTTTCTATGATACTTAATTATAGCCCAAGGAAGATTATAAGTCCCTTCAGGGCAGAGTCACTGTCTTGTTCCTCTGTTCTGCGTCTAGAAAGTACTTTATGGCATACAAGAAATGAATGAATGAAATTGTTTTGGCTTTGCTAACAACTAGCTTATTCTCATTCTTCAGTGTCAGCTCAAACTCACCCCTTCAGAGAGGTTTTCCCTTGTTACCCTCTCTTTATAACCACCACTCCTTTCCCTTCATCACACTATCTTGCCAGCTTGTTTATTATCCCATTGTACTAATCACAATAGGTAATTTTCTTATTTGTTTTTCCCAATCATGAATATAAATTCATAAGGTTGGTTACTTACTTTTTTTTTTTTTTTGACTTGGAGTCTCACTCTGTCGCCCAGACTGGAGCGCAGTGGCCGCTCCCGGCCACCACAACCTCGACCTGCTGGGCTCCGGCAATCCTTCCGCCTCAGCCTTCCGAGTAGCCAGAATTACAGGTGCACGGTACCACGACCAGCTAATTTTTTTATTTATTGTAGAGATGAAGTCTTGCCTGCCCAGGGGGGTCTCGAACCCACGGGCTCAGGCAATCCACTCACCTCAGCCTCCCAAAGGCGTGGGATTACAGGCTGAGCCACCGAACCCGGTGAGGTTGGTTACTTTCTAAGTCTTATTCTGTACTATATACGTGGACCTCAGAAAAGCACATAGCTCGCCATAAACATTGAATTTCTGCTCTAGCTCATTGTCAGAGTCCTGATTTATATGTCCAAGTCATTGTTTTTTTGTTTTTTTTTTTTGAGTTGGAGTCTCACTCTGTCGCCCAGACTGGAGTGCAGTGGCCGCTCCCAGCCACCGCAGCCTCAACCTGCTGGGCTCCGGCGATCCTTCCACCTCAGTCTTCCGAGTAGCCGGAATTACAGGCATGAGCTACCATGCCCGGCTGATTTTTTGATTTATTGTAGAGATGAGGTCTCGCTGCCCAGGCAGGTCTCGAACCCGCAAGCTCAGGCCATTGTTTTTATTTTATTCCCTAAACTGGGCGCCGTGACTCACGCATGTAATCCCAACACTTTGGGAGGCAGAGACAAGAGGATTACCTGAGCTCAGGGGTTCGAGACCAGCCTAAGTAACATGGTGAGACCTTGTCTCTACAATAAATAATAAAATTAGCTGGGTGTGGTGGTACATGTCTGTAGTTCCAGCTACGTTGCAGACTGAGGCAGAAGGATTGCCTGAGCCCAGCAGGTCAAGACTGTGGTGACCGTGAGCATGCCACTGCACTCCACCCTGGGCAACAGAGTGAGACTGACTTAAAAAAAAAAAAAAGCCTTCCCTGATTATAAATAAAAACAAAGTGTTGAGATAAAAGCTTTTCTTTTAAGTTGAGGACAAAATAATTTTAGAATTAAGATCATAAAGATCATCTAGACTAAATTTCTTAGCTTACAGATAATAGAAACTGACACAACACTGAAAGGGTTTAAGTGTCAGACATCAGGGTCTAAAGCCAGTCAATCAGGCTTCCTGGTTCCATGTCCTATCCTTTTCCCACTCTGCCATGCTACTCTGATCTTTTCACCACTGATGTTCTCAGATAAATCCCAGGCTGCTGTTGTCCTCCCTCCAATTTTGTGTTGAACTCCACCATAAATGCATTGGCAGAGGAAGTGGTACAACTTAAACTGTTATTAACTTTATTTTTATTATTATCCTAAAAACTCATTGATCCTAACAGTTTTCATTTTAAATACTTTTTTTTTCCTCTCCCCAGAAAAGCATTTGGTCCTGCTTCGAGATGGGAGAACACTTATAGGCTTTTTAAGAAGCATTGATCAATTTGGTATGTATTAATAATGAACTTTTTCTTCTCTTATACTCTGGATGATAAAAGCTGCCCATTGCATTTTTTATGTTATTTCATATTGAAATTTATCTACAACTTTTTAATGTGTGTGGCACAGTGAAACTTTTGAGTGAGTACATCGTTTGCTATATTATGATTAGGTGGTTCAAAACTTGTTTATTTACAAGCTCATGTTTCTAAAACTGGTTTTCACTAGAAGGTATGATTACAACATTTTGAACTTTTTAATTTCCCCCAGTAGAGGGAGCCAAATGATAGAAATAAACTCACTCCACTGAAAAGGCTGTTCATGTGTATACTGGCTTGGGTGTGACTGCTCTTCAAAGCAGTTCCTACATAGAAGGTAATCCTTCCCTGTCCAATGAACATTGGGTAGAAGGCATTTCCTGAAGGTTTTTTGGGACTCCAACATTAAGCTCAATACTTTACATATAGGTATACATTAGACAGAAATCTCTGGCCGGGCGCAGTAGCTCAACCGTGTAATCCCAGCACTTTGGGAGGCCAAGATGAGAGGATTGCCTGAGCCCGCGGGTTCAAGACCAACCTGGGCAACATGGTGAGACCTCGTCTCTACAATAAATCAAAAAATTAACCAGGCATGGTAGTGCATGCCTGTAGTTCCAGCTACTTGGAAGGCTGAGGTGGAAGGATCGCTTGAGCCCAGCAGGTCGACGCTGGGGAGCCATGAGCATGCCACTGCACTCCAGCCTTGGAGACGGAGTGAGACTCCAGTTAAAAAAAAAAAAACAAGCCGGGCTCGGTGGCTCAGCCTATAATCCCGCGCCTTTGGGAGGCTGAGGTGAGTGGATTGCCTGAGCCCGCGGGTTCGAGACCCTCCTGGGAAGCGAGACCTCATCTCTACAATAAATCAAAAAATCAGCCGGGCATGGTAGCGCATGCCTGTAATTCCGGCTGCTCGGAAGGCTGAGGTGGAAGAATCGCTGGAGCCCAGCAGGCGAGGCTACGGTGGCCGGGAGCGGCCACTGCACTCCAGTCTGGGCGACAGAGTAAGACTCCACTAAAAAAAAAAAAAAAACAGAAAAAAAGAAATCTCTGTTCGTTTTACATCCTGCATTTTTCTAGAGTAAGACATCTGTGTCTCTTCCTGTTTCAAAAAACTTCTCTGTTCATATCGACATTTGTCAGACATCTGCTAAGTCACTGGATTAAGGCATGAGGAAAAGGCATAATTGAAACACTTATAAGAATTATTAAAGGTATGAACATAGATTTCTGCTTTACTTCAAATAGGACAAATAATACTAAATGAAAGAAGAAAAATTATCCTTAACAAATTAGAGTTCTGAATCTTAAGTCAAATTCTTCAGAGAACTTTGAAGGAAAAGTAGTAAATATTGAGTTTACTCTCAGATTACAAATTATGGTTATCTATCAAGGTGGAAAAATTGTTTTTTGCTGTATTATAATCCATGGATACTTGTGTTAGATTAAATGAATCCTAAGTACTGAAACAAAGTTAAATCTTCAGTAAATCATCCCATACACATGCCCATACAACAAAGAGAAACTGTTGCCTTCCAACCAAAATTTTGATCTCTGCAGTTGTTCAGACTCAAGTTTTCCAAGTTCCTTGTTCATTTATATTTTCTTCTGGCTATGTTGATATTAGCAATTAGCTGACAAAGAACTTCTCCTAACTTACATCTACCATCATTCATGTATTAGCTCAACATAATCCCAAATACTCTTTTCAACTGTTTTAAAAGTCTCCTAAGGGGTATGTTTTATTCAGTGAAACAAGAAAAGATTATTTGAAATGTTAACTTTTCTCAGAAAGCTTGGAAATCATGTTTAGCTAAATCTTTTCTACTCAAAATAACTGATTAATTGAGTTATAGGCCTTTACCCAATAATTTGAACTAAATATCTTTGTTTCTTCCCTATACACTATAGCTAACTTAGTGCTACATCAGACTGTGGAGCGTATTCATGTGGGCAAAAAATACGGTGATATTCCTCGAGGGATTTTTGTGGTCAGAGGAGAAAATGTGGTCCTACTAGGAGAAATAGTAAGTGAAAACTGTTAAGCTGCTATGGATCTTGATATTCATGCTAGTTAGGTTTCTTTGTCTTTTCAAGAGGGAATACAAATATTTTCCACATTTCACCCAGCTTCACATAGGCAACTACCAAATTAGCTTAGGAAAACTATACTTGTGAAAAGGAAAATATAGAGAATACTTAACTTTGTTTCAGTGCCTTTTGGCATCTTAAAAGTTTTTTTGATTCCATTGGCAGCAAAATATCCTACACAAATGTGTTCATTAATATATTATTTGTTTTATAGCATAAAATTGGAAAAGATTGCTTTATATACTTTATATATATATTTTGGGGAAAATATGATTTATATATGTTGGAATATTTGGCAGTCACTCAAACAGTTGGTTACAAGTAGTTTTTCATGACATAAAGCTAATTGGCAGTATTTGAGGAAAGGACATATTACATATACAGTAGAAAGTGATGTCCATGGTTTTTTGGGGGGGGTTTTTTGTTGTTTTGAGTTGGAGTCTCACTCTGTTGCCCAGACTGGAGTGCAGTGGCCACTCCTGGCCACTGCAGCCTCAACCTGCTAGGCTCTGGCAACCCTTCCGCCTCAGCCTTCCGAGTAGCCGGAATTATAGTCATGCGCTACCATGCCCGGCTGATTTTTTGATTTATTGTAGCGATGAGATGTCCATGTTTTTAAACAGGGAATGGGGAAAGAGTAGCTGTGGGAGGCTTTCTGTTACATGTTCTGAGAAGGGAGTTCAGTTTCACTTGGATCCTAGCTCACAGCCAGGGAGAGATACTTAGGCATCTTCCAGGTATCTAAGTCAACTCAAATCTTGCTTTAAGTCTTTTTGTATACAGACATACACACACACATATAAATGCATACAAAACTATTAGGAAAAAAAATTGTGTGTGTGTATAAAATAATAGAAGTACTCAGACTTTTTTTGGTAGAGACAAGGTCTTGCTATGTTGCCCCAGGGTGGTCACGAATTCCTGAGCTCAAGCAATCCTCCCACCTCAGCCTCCCAAATTGCTAGGATCACACACGTGAGCCACTGTGCCCAGCCTCAGATATTTTTTAAAGTATCTTATTTAAAACCTTTGATTTAGGCCGGGCGCAATGGCTCACACCTATAATCCCAGCACTTTGGAAGGCCTAGGTGAGAGGATTACCTGAACCCACAAGTTCGAGATTAGCCTGGGCAACTTGGTGAGACCTCATCTCTGTAATAAATCAAAAAATTAGCCAGGCGTGGTGGCGCATGCCTGTAGTTCCAGCTACTTGGAAGGCTGAAGCAGAAGGATCACCTACCTGAGCCCAGCAGGTTGAGGCTTTGGTGGCCGTGAGTGTGCCACTGCACTCGTCTGGGCGACAGAGTGAGACTCCAACTCAAAAAAAAAGAAAAAACCTTTGATTTGATCCTGCTGCTTCTAATTACTGGATTTGCCAGAAAAATCAAAATCCCTTCAAGACTAGTTGAAATTAAGTAGTAAACTAGCACTGTTTTCTTTCTTGTTTATTACCAAAAACTTTCGTGTTTGCTTAATTTTTTCTATTTTGTTTATCAAAGTTTTCAATAATGTTTCCCAATACTGGCTGGGCATGGTGGCTCACACTTGTAATCCTAGCACTTTGGGACACCAAGGCAATAGGATTATTTGAAGCCAGGGGTTCAAGACCGGCCTGGGCAATATAATAAGAACCTGTCTCTATTTAAAAAAAGAAAAAAAAGTTTTCCAATACTTAGCCTCATTGTAAGTCAGTCTACAGAAGTTGTTAGAATGGTTTTATTTGTAGCTATTTTATTTTTTTGTGGAGACATAGTCTTGCTGTGTTACCCAAGCTGGTCTCAAACTCCTGGACTCAAGCAATCCTCCTGCCTCAGCCTCTCAAAGTGCTGGGATCACAGATATGAGCCATCACACCCAGCCCTTTTTCTTATTTATAAAATATTTTTTTGATTGGTACTTTGGGTTCAGTTTATCATTTCTTACATGTTTAAGCAGCAGAAATTGCCATTTTCTTATATTATGCAAAAGTTGAAATAAAGCACCTGGTATCCAGGGGGTGGTAACTGTAGTCTGCTAGTATGTTTTTTTTCTCCAGGGTCTTGCTGTGTTACCCAGGCTGGATTCAAACCCCTGGGCTCAAGCAATCCTCCCACCTCAGCCTCCCAAGTAACTAGGACTACAGGTGCGTTCCACCATGCCTGGCACTGCCAGTATATTAAGAGTAGCTAGCTGGGCTTGGTGGCTCAGCCTGTAATCCCGCACCTTTGGGAGGCTGAGGTGAGCGGATTGCTTGAGCCCGCGGGTTCGAGACCCGCCTGGGCAGCAAGACCTCATCTCTACAATAAATCAAAAAATCAGCCGGGCGTGGTAGCGCATGCCTGTAATTCCGGCTACTCGGGAGGCTGAGGCGGAAGGATCGCCGGAGCCCAGCAGGTCGAGGCTGCGGTAGCTGGGAGCGGCCACTGCACTCCAGTCTGGGCGACTGTGTGAGACTCCAACTCAAAAAAATAAAAAATAAATAAATAAAATAAAAAGAACATATCAGGGGAAAAGACTTAAGTTAAAATATTTATACATCCTCTACTTCAGTTTTATAGAAGTAAACGTAGCAGGTATGCTTTTTGGACCAGTTACGTTGGCACAGAGGTACATCTAAGTAGACGTATGTGTATGTACAGAGGAAGAGGTGAACATGTGTTTGTTCTTGAAGATTCATTGTTTCATGGGATCCCTTTTTTGAGCAAAAACCCTTTTTTTTTTTTAGAATAATCTGGTTTTTTTTTTCATTAATCAGTATTTTTTATTATGGTTTTGTGGGGTACAGTTAAGGGTTAGGTGTACAGTGACGTTTCATTCAGGCACCCTGTAGATAAGAAGTGTTTTCCCATCCCCCGACAGATATTTGCTACTGTTAATCCCATCCCCCTCCCCCCCATAGTTTCCCAGTACCATCAGTCATTTTCTTATAGTATTGCATTGGATGTTCAAGGTCCATTATATGAGTGAGAACATGTGATATTCGGATTTTTGTTTTTGTGAGAGGTCACTCAGTATTATAGACTCTAGTTCCATCCAGGTTGCAGCGAAGTTCATGATTTTGTTCTTTTTTATGGCTGCGTAGTATTCCATCGTGTATATGTACCACATTTTTTTAATCCAGTCCTCTTTGATGGGCAGCATGGTTGTTTCCAGGTTCTTGCTATTGTGAACATGCTGCGATAAGTACGTGTGCAGGTATCTTTTTTATAGGGTGATTTGTGTTCTTCAGGGTATATTCCCAGTAGGGGGATTGCAGGGTCATATGGAAGGTCAATTTTTAGAGCTTTTAGGAATCGCCACACTGCTTTCCACAGAGGTTGCACTAGTTTACACTCCCACCAACAGTGTAGAAGTGTTCCCTTTTCACCACACCCTCTCCAGCAGCTGTTATTTTTTGAGTTGTTGATAATTGCCATTCTGACTGGAGTTAGGTGGTAAAAACCCTTTTTTTATGTTATGGTTTGGATGCTGAAGTTTTAGAGTGGTACCATTAGAAAAACATGGTTCAAGAATGCATACATGGTTAAATGAATTAACAGTCAGTTTGAAGAAATTCTGTACCAATTTCTAGGGAAACTCATACCCAGAAACCATGTAGAGTCTTATAAACATGACATTGCTTTAAAGGTTCCTGGATTCTGTTCAAGGATGATGATGACACAACCTGAAGTAATAAGACTGATTGTCGGAAGCAGCATCATCATAACCACATGCAAAGCTCCATGAGTAACATATTGAAAAGCCCAAGAGGCAGTTCACTGAGCCAAGAACAGTCTTCCTTCAGCTGCTGCCCATGGGTTGTGAGGGTGGGTGTCACATACATATTTTGCTGGGTGCTGTTAACTTCTGACCCTTGGCAGGGCTTGTTTATGTAAATTGTATGACTTTCATCCCTTCAGCTGCTGCCCATGGGTTGTGAGGTTAGGTGTCACATACATATTTTGCTGGGTGCTGTTAACTTCTGACCCATGGCAGGGCTAGCTTATGTAAATTGTATGACTTTCATTCTGACCTCCGTGGTGAGAGTTCTTTTTCTATCTGCTGATCATGTCCCTGCCTGTGGGTTCTGAGACCTTGGTGGCAAGTGATGATGAATTCCCAGGTGAGAACATCTGGAGAGTTTGTGAACATGTCAGTGCCTTCCCACACTGTAGAATTGAAAGACACAGAGGAGGATGAGAAATGGGAAGATTCTGTCTATGTAGGTTTTCCATGTTACAGAAACACAGAATACCATCTGCACTTTCATTTTGAGGAGAATAAGCTGAGTCTGTGGATAGTGAGATACTTTTTTAGCAAGGTTGGTTCTCAAATATTTATAAGGTGTTCAAAAATAAAAATACTAAATATGTTATGCCATATTAAGTAAAATAAAAATTACAGTCAATATATGCATTGTGGCATTTTATTAAGTCAAATATACCTAGAAAATTTTTTTAAATATTGACAAAAATGTTAATACTCCATATTGGAATTAAGGATAATTTTCAAATGTTTTCTGTTTGCCTCTTTTCAAAATTTCCTACAACGAGCATGTATTTTTGAAATAAGGAAAAATAAATAATTTTTTGTTAAGCTAAAAATGTTTTAATTAAAGTCATGAAGAAATACCGGGGATGCCAAAAAAAAGTATACACATTTTAAGATATATTATCTATGTATTACTTTTAGTTTGCTGTAATCGCCTGGCTAATTTTGGACACTCATTATAACCACTTTGAGTACCTCTTGTAATTGCAGAAGTCAAATGTGATTTGTATTCATCTTTTAATTTTAATACAGTTTTTGCCTTTCTTAAAGTGTGTGTGCATTTTTTTGGCACCCTCTATATATTGGCACCAAACTGGTTTGGTAACCTAACTAGTCTGCTGAGTTTTTCTCTAGACGACCTGTTGTCATAGAGGGAGAAAGAGAGTCTTGTGTTATAATTTAGAGACACCTGAGCAGGCACAGTGCTGCATGCCTACAGTCTCAGCTACTCAGGAAGCTGAGGCAGGAGTATCTCTTGAGCCCAGGAGTGCAAGGCCAGCCTGAACAATATAGCAAGACCCTAATTTTTTATTTTATTTTTATTTTATTTGAGTTGGAGTCTCACTCTGCTGCCCAGGTAGGAGTGCCACGTTCACGCCCACCGCAGCCTTGACCTGCTGGGCGATTGTGATCCTTCTGCCTCAGCCTTCCAAGTAGCTGGAACTACAGGCACGTGCTACCACACTCAGCTAATTTTTGGATTTATTGTAGAGACAAGGACTTGCCATGTTACCCAGGCTCGTCTTGAACCCCTGGGCTCAAGCAATCCTCTCACCTCGGCCTCTCAAAGTGCTGGGATTATAGGCATGAGCCACCACACCTGGCCAAAGTAATATATTTTTAAGAATTATCTAGAGCCATATTTGCTTCAGTAACTTCTCTCTTAGATTCTCTGCAACTGTGGAGATACCAGAAGTTGCTCCTGACTAATGTAAGATTTTGGATGATGTAAAACTGTGTTACACACACTGATACTGATTCCTGTTGCCACAATCATTGTAAGTACGTGTTCTGTAGAAGTGTTGCCAGGCATTTCTTTGTAAAACTTATCTGGGTCAGGCGCGGTGGTTCAGCCTGTAATCCCAGCACTTTGGGAGGTGGAGGCAAGAGGATTGCCTGAGTCTAGGGGTTCGAGACCAGCCTGAGCAACTTGATGAAACTTCGTCTCTACAATAAAATCACAAAAATTAGCTGGGCATGGTGGCATGCACTGTAGTTCCAGCTGCTTGGAAGACTGAGGCAGAAGGATCGCCTGTGCCCAGCAGATCGAGACTGCGGTGGCCGTGAGTGTGCCACTGCACTCCAGCCTGGTTAACAAGAGTGAGACTCCAACTCAAGGAGGTGAGTGGATTGCCTGAGCCCACAGGTTCGAGACCTGCCTGGGCAGCTTGGCGAGACCTCCTCTCTACAATAAGTCAAAAAATTAGCCGGGCGTGGTAGCGCACGCCTGTAGTTCCAGCTACTTGGA